TTTGCATGAGTTATTTGCCCAGGATTTGCAGCGGGAAAAGGGGGAAACAGGCAAACTGGGATCCGCCCAAAATCAACTCGAATTCCTTAAATGCGAAAAATCCCTTTATTATTTCTACGCTCTTTTGTGGTTAAAAAACTGCTGCCATAAATAACATCCACTTATTATATCTTTAATGGCCCTCGGAACGACCGCGCTCGGTTCATTTAAAATTATTTAAAATACTCACCATTAAATGGGAAACATTTCATGTGGCACTTCAATTAATGCGAATGTTGCGAGTGACAAAACAGCCATAATTGTATGGCTGAGAGCTTCCGCCGTGCGAACCAGTTTGAATGGCCTTCCAGACAGGTGTGATCCATAACTATAAATTAGGCTCGATTTAATGCGAAATCGGGTCGATTAAATGCGTTAATTGGAGGCGAATAGTTGGCAGTTACAAAGCCGTTACAATATATTGCAGATAATCACCCACTGAAAACAACAATAAATAAACACATAATCATATGTATTACTACACCAGCTTGCAGTAGTATGGCTATTTACTAACTCGGTGACTTTTATCTTTTGGCTAATATTACTGCATCTCAAAGCAACTGGAATCTCATTTGCAGTTATGTGACAGCTAATTTGAAGTATCAGGATGCACATATTTTCTAAAGGATTCCCCTATTTGTTCAGGAGATTGTTGAAATGGTATTTCAACAATGTTGTGCACTTTTCGTGTCAGAAACTTCGTGAATATTACGAGTGCTACGAGCAAACTTGGTTCTTTAAGTTGATTTTTCGGTTAGCCATAATGGTAGTAAATTATGATAGTAAATTATTGAAAAGTGAGTATTATTGTCTTATCATTTTACTCATTTATAGGATCTAGTACCGAAGTGAAACCCGCAGCAAAGCACTCAAATATTTACCTCTTTCACATTAAACTGCTGGCAAAAACACACTTTAGTTTGGATTCCGGGGATTGTGTTCCACTTTGCTTTGACAAGTGGGCATAAAATAATACTCGGCAAAATGAGGCAAAATATTTATGAACCGCTGACGTCGCCAGTCGGTAAAGGGGAAAAGGGAGAAATGGGAGAAATGGGGTGCGTTAAGCCCACTTCAATGCATTTATTTTGAGAATTTCATTTATCAGCGAGCTCCTCAGACGTCAGAGCATCTGGAAAATCCCCTTTGCCCACTGGTTCTGGGAAATCAAGGACCACAGAGAAGCTTATCGTGGCAAATCCTATTGTCGTCATATTGACATAACCGCACAGCCATCCGCACCCCGAATGTAGTCCTCCACTGGAACCACTTCCCCGTTTATTCTGTCGCGCTCCACCGACCATCCGTCTTCCCAGAAATTTGGTAGCGATACAACTCGCCACCGTCCTGCGTCCTTCGTCCTTCGTCCTTCCTCCTTCGAGCCATCCTTGCGATAGCCAGGACTCTGGGAGTGTCGAAGTGGCAGTGGCAATCCCACTTGCAGATGTGGCACCTTTCGGTACAATTTCCCAATTTCCGAAGAATGCGCTTAAGAACTCTTTTCATTCTTTAATAAATTAATACAGTTCATGTTCGGAAAAACATTGGCCGCGGTTCTTAGCAGACTGCTCTCTGCTAATGTCTGCAGCCCCCCTTTAATCCTGGAGATACTTCATCCTCCTCCGCATCCGCGTCCTGTTGCTGTTGTGTGTATCCTGCGCTTCAGTGGCTTAGTTCGTACTTGGCGCGACTTATCTTCTACAGCGACTTGTTTGCAAAATGACAAAATGAATGGTGCGGTCATCTCGTTCGTCGAGGTCCTTCCATTATCCTTGGCGCTGCGCTGGATTGCTCATCACTTCGTCAACATTCACTTGGTCGCCTGCTCGCAAAGGATTTCCTTGGAGAATGGCTCGCAATGCAATGACAAATGAATTGGTGGAGAATGCAGCTAGCATTTGCTCCTGGCCTTAAAAAAGATGAGTGGACTCGAGATGGATTTGCTGTGTGTGCTTGTCGGGAGATAATAAATGTAGTTTACAACTATTTAAAATCGACAATGTCAGAATCAGGCGTGTAAGTTAGAACATGGCATTTATATTACTACAAGTATATAGAGTTTGAAATGTGTGGCATAATCATCTCAATTTGTGGCTGTATTCCCTGGCAAATGCTCTGTTATTTAAGTTCATTTTTTGAGTATTGCACACTCTGGCCAGCGTATAAATTTGCGGCCTGCCGCACACACTTTTTATTCGTGGCCAAATGCAAAGTGTGCGCCATCATGTTGCCAACGATTCCGGATTCCGGATTCCGATCTCCGCTCCCCGCTCCCCAAATCCCCGCGGGAGTTGCAGGTCCGAGTTCCGCGCCCGGCGAGGAATGAGGCTGGAATTCCGGGTGCCGGTCATGTCGTAATTAGCGGAGCTCGGCGTTGCCGGCGATAATTAATGACGGTGGTCACGTTGGTTTCATGTCGATTTCATTTCAGGACACGGCCGCAGGCGCCTCCACTCCACCCACTGCCCACAATCCTTCCCAGCCCCGCAGCCACTCCATGCGGTGATTTGTCAAGCGGTCCAGTGAAAAGAGAGAAACTGCTTCGACCTGGGAACTGCATGTAAATGCACATTAAATTGAATTTCTATTACCCAAAAAAGCGGGGGAGCTGGCCTTTTATTTTATTTGCCACTTCTGCTCCATTTCGCTGGGCCTTCATTAAGCGCTGACCATTTTGAAATTCAATGCAATTTGAACTTTCAATTCAATTCACTTGAGTTCAGCTCGTTTCGATTCGATTCGTTCCGATTCGATTCGATTCAGGCTGCGCATAATCGAATAATTTATGGACGTGCTCGGCCAAAGTTTTCCCAGCGGGCGCTTTCCTTTCCCCAGATTCTTTGGATTTAATTTTTAAAATATCCTGCTAGTCACTCAAATAGTTCTTCATTTTCGGCACTAGTAATTATTGAGCACTACTTACATTCTACATTCTACAACATACTGTGGTTTTCATTCAGCTTGAACTTTACAAATATCTAAAATTGTTGATAAATATGTACTTCGTTCCAGAATCGCGCATATTTACTTATCACTTGACTTGCCACATTTTCCGACTTGATTAGAGTGCAAGTGCCAACGCAGCTTGTTAACTGATTGAGTGCCACAACGTCACATGGCTAAAAATTAATTAAATTCGCTTTGTTTGATAAGCCGCGCTTACAGCAACTCCCAGTTTGAAAGCGATGAAGTGAATAATGCACATTGTTTGATTTCCTTGGGCTGCTGTGTTTGCCACAGCTAGAGTTTTATCAAATATTTGCATACAATGCAAAAAGCTTACAATGACCATCAGTGAGTTTCCGTGCGGGTGTGGATTCAGTTGTTGGTAAATACTTAATGCTCTTAGCCGTAATGCACTCGACATGAAAATGAGTTATTTGGGCCCCGAAATGCATTTATCAATTCAAATTGTCTGCGCAGCAAAGCCAGTCGTTTTCCACCTCGGAGGAAAAGCGATGCAAATGCTTTTTGGCCAGATCCAGAAAATCTTTGAGTCCAGTAAGTGACTTGCGCCGACTTTCCAAACTGATACTGTATTGTTGAAATGGTATCCTGAAATGGTCATAATTTTATTATCATCAGCATCAGTTGGAGTAATTGAATGCGTTCGTAAGCGATTTATTCGTTCATAGGAACAAGAACAAAGCTCAACTATTATCCTTCATCCTGCTGGACAGGACTATTTGCAGAGTCAACGATCTGAAAAAGGCTTTCTTAATATTACTTAATATTTCGATTAATAAGAGTACTTATCCCAGCTGCTGTCCATATTTTTCGCTAAGTAAAGCTCACACTTTTGTTGCAGTTCACAGGTCACAGTTCACAGGTCACAGTGCACAGTTCACTCGAATTTAGTTGGCATCAACCACTGGCTACAGCTGGTTGAAGGGGACCAAATGCTAGGAAAACAGATCTGACCCGATGTCAACCAGCTACACACAGCGTTGCAGAGGAAATGGCCAGATTGGGCCGAGTTTCATGAGCTGTTTGCGTTTCATTAACACGTTTTGCGATATCAATGCCGCGGCAGTGGCATAAATCAATTCGCACTAATTACGCGCCTTTGTTGCAAACGTTTTATTATTGCGCTCCTTGGACGAGAAAAATTAATTGAATAAAATATGCACGCGCACGGGCAATAAATCACAATGCATCGCTCAACCGTTTTTTCCTGCCCGGAAAAGCGAGCTATAGAAGTTGCCAGTTGAATACACTGCGAGCACGCGGATCGTGAGTATTCGGTTCCCAAAGGACACTTTGCATTATCATTAATCATAATCATTACTTACCACTCGAATATATCACTACGAATGTGAGTTGCTTATATAAATAATAATGCGAGTTGCTTAGCTATGGCAGCAGGTTGAAATAGTAACTCATTCACCCGATGATGAGATACTCTCAGATTTAATTCGCAGCTTTAATGGTTTGTCACGACCAGGATCACATATCCTGCCACCCCCCCGCCCTTCCCGCCTCTCATTCATCCGATTGTTGTTTTGCATGCGGCACATTAGCTTCATTTGTTCTATTGTTTTGATTATGATTTACAATGCCCAGTGCGCAGCTTTTGTTGCTCTGCTGAATGAGCGTTTTGAGTGTGTGTGTGTGTGTGCGGGGTGTGGGTGTGTGCGTGCGTTTGTGTTGAACAAAGAGCAATACATTTGCATGGGGAAAAGGAAAATGAGAGAGTGCGGCATGTGGACCACACAATAAATTTCATTTTATCCCGTAGGACATTACCCACTATTTAAATGGTCCTTTGTACGGCGTTTTTCTCGTTTTAGCCAAACACCCACTGAAGTGTTATAAGCCCTCATTACAGCGCTGTGTTTAAATTCCCTTGGGGAAAACATGAATTGTGTATACTTTACAAATTAAACTGAGGGACGAATGTAATTGTACCAGATTCGTGGCGCTGCATTGTCGATTTAAATATAATAATTCGAGTGCAAATCTAAAGTAATCAGAGGAACCGACCGAATTATGTATTTATTTATAATGCAACATTTTGTAATCACGGTAATTTCAAATGAACTCAAAGGTACTTCAAATTTAGACACGTATTCATTCGCATTGCACCAGATCACGATAGTGATACTTATTACTCTACTTTACGACCTGTTTGCGTTGGAGCTGCCGGGGGCAGTGGGGTCCTGGTCCGGAAAGAAGTGGGCCTCCAGTTTCTGGATCCCCTCGGGAGTGCTCAGGTCGAAGGCGAACTTCAGATACTTGTCGAAGTAGTTCTTGGTGCGGTTGGTGTTGTGGCGGGCAGTGCGAGCGGTAATGTTGGGCGACTTGTCGGCACACCTTGCCTTCTGATCCTTGGACTCCATGGGCATGGGTTGCTTGGGTTCCCTGGGCTCCTTGGGTTCCTTGAGTTCCTTCTGGTCTGTGGGCGCTCTACAGTGCCTGAAGCCCTTGGCTTCCTTGGGACCTGCCACCTCCTTGCTGCCATGGGGATCATTGAAGACGAGTTCCTTGGCTTCCCTACCATCCCTCACCTCCTTGGGAGCCAGTTTTGGATGACTGGCTCTGGGCACTGACGCTCGAACAGTGTTCAATGGCTGGCTGCCCACACTAACCCCACTCTGGTACCTTGGAGCCACTTGCGCATTGCCTCCTCCAGCAGCTCTGATCGGATTTTTGGAGGCCCGGGCCAGCTCGATGTGGTTGCTTATCCTGGACATATCGTGCACGGTATCCTTGGCTGTTGGCTCTGCCGCCTGCGCCTTGGATAGTGCTTCATTTCTGGTGCTCCGCTTGGCACCCATTTTGGGAACTTTCTCCTTGGACAGCCCACAATCGTTTCCCTGCTGCTGATACGCGGTGCTCACCAGAGGATTCTTCAAGCGGGTTGGCTTCGCTTTGCGGTGCGGAGCTGAGTTGAAAGCCATTAGTTTGGAGACCTCGACGAACTGCAACGAATGAGTGAGTTTATTAAGCTTATTGTAGAATAAATGTGGAAATGTGGCAGGACCAATTACACCACTTGATGGCAAACTCAAGGATTGAATGAAAAATTCGTTTTTGTAGCTTGTACACAATGAATTTGTAGCTGGCACTCCTCTTCCTAAATTAGTTATATTAACTTTAAGCCTGTTTACTTGCTTTTTGTACTCTTCTGCCAACGATCATTGAATTATTCATCAGACTCCAACACCAGAGTTGGAAATATACAAGACTACAATTAGGTGAATACTGGGAAAATAGCCCGACAAGTGTTTCTAAAAAGGGTTTGGAATCCAATGCGAATTATTTTTCCTTTTTCAGGGACGACAAAAAGTCATGGCTTAAAATGCGAGTAATTTAGCAAAGAGAAATGCGGAGATAAAAAGACTTTATTTTGCTGGATTACTTTTTCAGGACAGCTGCTAAAATGGAGAGAACAACAAAAACAATTAATTCCGGATAAACACATTTTATAATTAAAAAATTCCTTCGCCTTTTTCTGGCTTTCTCGCTGTATTTGGTTTTTGTGTGAACTTGCAAAAACAAAGGCAGCGTATAAAGTGAAGGAGTCCGGGAAAATGAGTGCAAAGAGGAAAATAAGTCGAAAAAGGAGCTTACAGGAGTGACAGCTGAAAAGGAGCGAAGCGAAGACCATCAAACCAGGATTTAGGCAAAAGTCCAGCCGCACACGGCGTATACGCAATATTCCTTTGATTTTGACACTGAAATTTAATCATCTTTTCCGAGGAAGCAAAAAGACCACTAAGCTGATTAGGGTCTCTTTTAACTAATTTCTTTCTTATTTTTCCGCAATTTATTTAATCTTCTTTCTCCTTGGCCTTTTTTGTATCTTCTGGACCAAGTAATTTATTGTTTGTTGTACGTAATTAACCCGCTTCGTGGTCGCGTTCTTGGCTTTCGCACTTTGCTCTGCAGCCGTTGGCCTAATGACGTAGTGCAGGCCTGGAGGCAGTTCTCCCTCCTGTATCCCTGGAAAGAAAATTCATTTCATTTCGGTGATTAAAGCCTTATCTGCGTGTAAAGTCGTCCACGTAATTAGTTTCATTCCAGCCTTCTTTTTTGCTGGCCCCAGATTGCGACCTGTGCCAGTTTTTCCCCTTTTTCCGCTTACATTTCACAAAATGTGCGCAGCTCAGCCGAAAGCCTGGCGAGGGCGGCAGAAAGGTGGGAGTGGCAGTTGACGGGCTCAAATGTCAGCTAAGCCCTCGCAGGATATGCGAAATGACAGGCAAATTAAAGCTGAGTGGACGGGCAGACAATTTATCAGAGATACATAGGACATGATAAAGGTATAAAAATTGCCACTTATAATGCCAGAAATGTACGGGTTTGTCTCCCTGACAGTTACTCCAAATTGCTCACTTGTTTGGCTGATTTTCGAAAAGATACTTTTGTGCAGCTCGGTTGAGTAATGGCAGCCCAAAGGGTAAGCATTTACCAAATCCTAATGAAATGAAACTCCTCTTGCTCCACACCAAATTTTAGCTACTGAATTTGATCCCTTCATTAGGCAGCAACTTGCAAATAAGATAGAACCATTAAATTGTTTGTCAAGTATACTCGTACCTAACTTTAAAGCCTTTTCATTGCACAGCCTTTAATGTTTCCTAAAAACGTAGCATCCATTTGAAGCGAGCCCAACGAGTCGCTCTTTGTTCTCCACGGACCTGTACCCCTATTTTCCTACTAATGCCTTAATTTGAGAACCAAGACAAAGCTCAAGGAGGGAATTGTCCTGGAGGACTCCTTGTTCCTGGCCGCCTGTTGCCGATTGTCGAGCAAACAACTATTTACTTGACATTTGCAAAGAAATGTGTTCTGTAGCAGACCCCTCTTGACTGGCGTTCTCTTCGTTTATTCAGGTCCTTTGTTGTCCTGTTGCCTCTTTCCGTGATCTTTTCTGCTGCAGCAAGGACTTCAGAGCTGGAAAAAATGATTTAACTGCTGCACGTTGCGCACGTAAAGATATTGTATCTGTGAATCCGTTTTTTGAATGGCACACCTCACCCCATTGATGAAAGAAGTGATGCATAATGAAGTTATTATTGCCACATTACAGAACAGTATAACTGTTTGGAATCAAGTTCATAAGCTAGTTCAAATTGGATTCCAGCTATAGAACACTTTCTTTAAACACCTTTAAATACCTAAAGATATTGTATCTGTGAATCCGTTTTTAAAATGGCACACCTCACCCATTGGTAAAAGAAGTGAAGTTATTATTGAGTTATTATCAAGTTCAACACTTTCTTTAAACACCTAAAGATATTGTATCTGTGAATCCATAAAATGGCAATGGAAGTGAAGCATAGTAATGAAGTTATTATTGCCACATTACACTACAATATAACTGTTTGCATTTAAGTTCATAAACTAGATAAAATGTATTCCAGCTATAGAACACTTTCTTTAAACTCCTGAAGATATTGTATCTGTGAATCCACTTTTAAATTGGCGAACCTCACCCCATTGATAAAAGAAGTGAAGTTATTATTGCCACATTACAGTACAGTATAACTGTTTGGAATCAAGTTCATAAGCTAGTTCAAAATGGATTCCAGCTATAGAACACTTCTTTAAACACCCTTAAACACCTAAAGATATTGTATCTGTGAATCCACTTTTAAATTGGCGAACATCACCCCATTGATAAAAGAAGTGAAGCATAGTAATGAAGTTATTATTGCCACATTACAGTACAGTATAACTGTTTGGAATCAAGTTCGTAAACTAGTTCAAAATGGATTCCAGCTATAGAACACTTCTTTAAACACCCAAAGATATTGTATCTGTGAATCCGTTTTTAAAATGGCATATTGCCACATTACAGTACAGTATAACTGTTTGGAATCAAGTTCATAAGCTAGTTCAAAATGTATTCCAGCTGTAGAATACTTATTTAAACACCTTTAAGCACCTTAAGATATTGTATCTGCGAATCCATAAAATGGCAATGGAAGTGAAGCATAGTAATGAAGTTATTATTGCCACATTACACTACAATATAACTGTTTGGATTTAAGTTCATAAATTAGATAAAATGGATTCCAGCTATAAAACACTTCTTTAAACACCTAAAGATATTGTATCTGTGAATCCACTTTTAAATTGGCGAACCTCACCCCATTGATAAAAGAAGTGAAGCAACTAATGAAGTTATTATTGCCACATTACAGAACAGTATAACTGTTTGGAATCAAGTTCATAAACTAGATAAAATGGATTCCAGCTCTTGAACACTTTCTTTGAACACCTAAAGATATTGTATCTGTGAATCCGTTTTTAAAATGGCATATTGCCACATTACAGTACAGTATAACTGTTTGGAATCAAGCTCATAAGCTAGTTCAAAATGGATTCCAGCTATAGAACACTTCTTTAAACACCTATGCCATCTGTGCAGCTCCACGTCCAGTCCTCTGAGGTATCGATGTCAACAGAACGTTGCAGCCACTTTTCACCTGCCTCGACCTGTTTTTTGCACCGAATTTTCGCCCGCTCGACTGACAGTCAATTGGAGTTAGCCGGAAAAGCCGAAATCGAGGAGCACATATATAAATTGCAACATAAATTATACGCACATGGCTGGGGGAAATCGAGCTGGGATAGCTTGTCCCATGTGCTTAACCGGAAATCGTGTGCAAAATGAAAATTCGGGAGGAGGAAAAGCCACCCTGCCTCTGAGTTTCCCGTCCTTTCAGCTTTCTCCTTTCTCCTGTCGCCGGCACCATTCGTTGCTGTTAACATTTCCGCTTTATTTGTCTGCCTGCCCTTTCACCCGCGCTTTATCTATCCAGATATATATAGGAGTATATATGTCCGCTTTCGAGCCCGACATTCCACCTACATTTGTTTGGATTTTTGTTGCTGCAGCTGCAGTTTTATTTTTGCAGCGCTCAGCTCGGTTTTTATCTCTTTTGTGTCGCCGCTGACGTTGTCTAATGTTTTAAATATAAACTCGAATATAATGCAGAAAATAAAAACATAAATCAACGCAGAAATCGCTTTTGGATTTCTTTTCAATCTGTACAAGTACAGATAGAGCCGGAGTAACTTTTCCCTTTTGTTGCTTTGGCTTGTTTGGAGCCCATAAATTATTCACACACAAGTTTATCTCTAAATGCGATAGTCAGGGTGCTCTTGGCTGTGCTCCTTGGTGTTTATTTCAGGAACAACCAGGTTGCATGGGAGGCGAGTGGAAGGATACACACCTTGCCCCATAGAGCTAATCCTTGTTTTGTTCTCATAGAAGAAAGAATGTTCCATACATGGATTCAATATATTATAGAAGGAAAAGCGTCCAAAAGGCAGTTTTCCAGGTGGGCGATTCATCGATTTGGGCTGTCACTAGTTTCCTTCGACTACTCATTGCATTAGCATCACTCGTCCTGCCTGCCGACTGCTCGCATTTCCCAGCTGTCCAGGGAAAGTGACAGTCGAATTTCCCGGTGAGTCCGCACCCAGATGGGCGATCAATCAGCGGTGGCATGCAAAGCGGGCCAGCCAGGATGGCTCCTTGCGAGCTGAAACGTGAGATGTGGCTGCATCCCCTCTCCAGCTTCCACCTGGCCACTTAGCCGCACGAAGCAGTTAATTAAATGATGAAAGCATTGACGTGTCGCAGGGACTAAATGGCTGCGAGCTCCGGAGTGCCAGTCCGAGTTGTCCGGTGCGAGGCTGGAAGGCCTGCGTCTGGCTGTCTGGTTGTCTGGTTATCTGGGGGCCATGTCCTTGCCAGGACTCGCAGCCCGACAGACGCACGTCGGCGCGTCCATATTGCAAGGGGAGTTTGGAATTGTGCGTGGCATAGCCACGGTGCACAGATAGTAGTGTTTTGGCACATTCTACAGATCCGAAAGGATAGTATTATCCTTAAACAAGTTGAAATAATGGTAATAATAATTTGAAAGGCAACTATTATGTTGTTAAGTTAATAATAACTATCATAGAGAGATATGCCTGTTTTACCCGTTTGTTTAAGAGCCACATCTCGATGCACCACTGTGGTTGCACT